GTCTGTGTACCGCAGAGGACTGAATGTGAAAGAGCAAGGAGCTCAACACATGCCAACTCTTTTTTTGGGATTTCTAGTGTCCACAGTGACCCTCTTGATTTAGCTGTGGGGTTACTGAGTCACCTTCACTTTTGACCTCTGACTCTCCACTGGCAGAAGGGAGCAGTTCTGAAGAGGCACTTTCAGCGTAGCACAGTCTCTGTTGCCATTTAAGAAGTTTATCAACAGTAATCATGAGCCTCGAAACTCTTACCATGCCATTTTCTTTAGTGAGTGTAATTTGTATTCTGGGAGGATAGTGTCCTGTAACCCTCAAAAGTCAAGAGATAAACCATTTTCTGATTCCGTTTACTTTATATAACTATTAAAACCTAATTATTTAATGAACTGCGTAACATTGTGTATTGATGGATTTGCAAAACTGTGCTACAGACATATGTACCATTCTACCAAATTGGTTCAAAGACAGAATTCAGAACACTTTTTGGACTTTTTACTCACTTGGACTTTAAAAAAATCCTTTTGCTGTTAGTGACCCCATACCAGGGGTCGGCAACCCAAATGTTAAGAAGATCCATTTTGTCCTTTCAACAAAAATCAAACCACTTTGGGAGCCACATTTTTTGTCCATTTTACCATCTTGGCTGTAAAAACGTCTCAGTATGTGCTGATGTGCTAGGCAAAAAAATATAAACGAAAACGCAGACTCACTTCGCTCTGCCTTAAGCTTTAGCTCAGAAATAACCACTTTTCTCGCATCTCCGGCAGGAAACTTTTCTGCAAAAGTAGAATATTTTCTTGTAAAATGTCTCTTGGCGTTTGTCTTTTTACGAGGCTGAAGTCAGATTCTCAATCGTATTTTCCTGTTCCACCTTAAATGGTGCAGCAGTTACATTCTGGCGCCTCAGGCACCATATAAGGTGGAACGGGAAAATACAAACGAGAATCTGGCGAGTGAAAAGCCGACTTCAGCTTCGCGACTTTTTAGAGTTTGACCGTTTCTCATTGCAGATTAAACATATCAGTAAACCAGCTGGAGAGATTATAAATGCAAATAAGTCCATTCGTCAAATGTTTCAGTAGTGACTGTTTCAGTCCTTACAATTTTAGGTAATTTTAGGACAGTTAAAGTTCTAAAATTACCAGTTAAAAAAAAAAAAAGTTTGTGTTAAAAAAAAGTTTATTATGTGTTAAAATCATAATTTTCATTAAAACAAAAAATGTTCATGTAGAATAAATGTGTTTCAGTACTGACAATTCTTAATGTTCCACACTGTTTTTCAGACTTTGGCACACATTTACTTCAAAACAGTGGCATCTAACTGCTCACTATGTGACCATTAGGAACAAGGATGCAGTCTCACTTCCTGCTCTAAAATGCAGGGGCGTGGCTAAACTCATTAAAATGCTTTGTGTTTCGGTAGTGACATGAAAACCTGAGAGAGTATTTTTTATACAAAGTATTTTTTTGAGAGAGTCTTTTTAAATATGCTCATGAAAAATCTTGAAAAATAATGGTTTGAATTACTTTGGTAGAATCGTCCGCATACATTTAAGAGACCTAGATAGATAATATTCTTCTATATAGACTGAAGTGAAGCCACTTGGCCATCTTAGAAAAAGTGAGCGCATGCATTGAGCTCAAAAAATGGAGATTTACATTCACAGATTACAGAAAAATCAAAGACATTGTGAGTATCATGAGTATTTATTTATTATTATTTATTATTTATTTCATATCTGTTATATATCCTAATCCAAGTTAATCCAGCCAAATCTAGGCTACATGATCCCTTATTTTTTTTTGGTAACACCTGACTGTAGGGCTTGTCATGACACCAGACATAAACCTACTTGAGCAGTTAATAAAGGCTTAATCCAGTAGGTGTTTTATGTCATTAAGGCTGCTTTTGTCAACTTTGATGTCAGGTATCAGGTAACATTTTTACATTGGGTAAACTACAGGTCACAGTGTGTCAGTGTATTCACTCTCACATGGTGATACATATAATCTATAGATACATGGAGCACATATTTTTCTAAATATTTTTTTTAAATGTTTGAAAATCAATGCAAGTCTGTAGGAAACACTTCCAGGGGGTATACATGACTGGAGCAGTACCTATCTATCTATCTATCTATCTATCTATCTATCTATCTATCTATCTATCTCTCTGTCTGTCTGTCTGCCTGTCTGTCTGTCTATTTGTGTATACACACACACACATGTGTGTGTGTGTGTGTGTGTATATATATATATATATATATATATAAAAATATAATATAAATATATATATATATATATATATATATATATATATATATTGCTGTTGTCAGAAGAAAACCTTATATCTCCTTTTTGTCGTTTTTCAGTTTTTGACATAATTTGAAAATGTCTGTTGTCCTTTACATTGTATGTAAATTTCATGAAGAATGGATCAAAAGAAATGACCCATAATGACGTAGCAAAAAGTCTGGTTCCATTGTCTTACATTAAAAGGAAAGTAGTTTTTTTCCTTCTCCTGTAAAGTTATATATATATATATAAAATGTGTGTGTGTATATGCGTATATAGGCACAAGTCCAGCACTGCATTCACCCCTGAGGTTCTATTCCCCATACTTGCACTGATTTTTGACATTTCATCAATTTTTCACAAGGTAAACATAATAGAAATAAATGTATCTGTTTGTCTGATTTTTCTTAATATTACTTTTTACTTCTGAAAATCTTGTTTCTGGTTTCTTTTATTAATACAATGCAAATTTTTATAGCATCTCTATGGGAATCACTATACTACGCTAGCACCGAGCTAACTGCAGTTTTCTAATTACCCCTTCAGTACATATTTTAACTTTAAGATTTACTCTCAATATTATTAATAGAGCAACTATCTGCAGACATCTATTGCTGAGCTGTTCAGCCAAAAGTTAAACAAAACCACATTCTTACACAGGCTAGGTTTGGTGTGCATTTTACACATTTTACATGCAGTTTCTGATTGCAGGCATTTGTGCGTTCTCTGCAAAAACTTCAGAAATTACAAAATAAGGCACAATTGATTTATTATTTTTCATATCCAGAGTGAACTGTATGAATGCTAAGATGGCTTTGGAGCTTACGTATACTCAAATAGCCACATCCATCCTTGTGAAGTAATGGATTAATAACCTGGATTAGGTTAATCATGAAATGTCTTCCTACTGTATATAAATTGAATGTAGTTGCAGGAAAGCACAGTACACCTCAGTATTTAGTTATATTTTGCATTTTTGGAGATATGTTGACATTATATCCATAGACAATCATTCATTTTACAGTGCAGAGAGCAAGGCTGCCAAGTGGCTTCACTACTTTTTGTATATTGTGGCATCATCAGCAATTTATCGGTCTATATATGTCTACGGTGTGGATGCCCTTGCTCTTTTGTACTGATTCATTTTTGCATTGAGACGTTGTTGACCCTCGCTATGCTAATGGCCGCACCTGCATGACCCCCCTTACCAACACTGTAGTCTTCTGCTTTTATCATTGAGGCATTTACCTGTGTGCTTGTGTGCTTTCTTTTCCTAGTTGACCACACACACAGAAACACACCCAACACACATCCTGATTTCAAATCCAAAAGTCAGTTAAAGGGTAATTCCACAGATTTTTCAAAAATTCGGCATAATTACAAGGTTAAGATGCAGAAAGATTATTCAGAGTGCTTTGATGAGATGCTTAGAGGGTCAGAATTGTTCACAGTGGTGGTGATAGGAACCAGATGTCTGAAATTGAATGCGCTTCCTGATGCCTGAGACATTGTTTTACGATATTTTTGAGAAGGTTTTGAAGCGAGGGGGGCATGCAACTTATTTTTCAGGTTTACCACTATTTTAGCATCATTAGTGTTACACATAAAAACTCAGAAAACACGTGTAGGTTCACTGCTGGTTTTGGATAGAAAATAAAATGGCTATGTTTGCAACTTTTGGTTCCTATGACCACCACTGTAAAGAAATCAGGGTAACACTTTTTTTGAAGGCTGCCTGTATAGGAATGACATAACACATGCATAAGAACTGAACAACATATTTATGAAGTAATATTTTAGTATTTATGACCAGCTTATGCTAGTAACTGCAAGATAACATAAGATGTTAAATGACATTGCATTGACATAAGGGACTTTAAACTAAAGTGATGGCCATCTGTTCTATTTATAACACTGTTATGAACCATCATTTCCAAGTAATAAAACTTGAAAGGAAGGTCTAGTTTATGTAGTTCTGCATGAATTTAACTACAAAACACCTATATCAATACGGCATTTACTATAGCTTATGGGATCTTGCGATTAGTGGCATAAGCAGCTAATAAATACTCAAGTATTGCTTTATAAATACCTTAATCAATGCTTATGCATGTGTTATGACATCCTTACGTATGTAGCCTTCAAATAAAGTGTACTGAAATCAGAGTTTTTAGGACAGTGCATTTTGCATCGAACCACTCTGCATGACTTTGTTTACATCTTTACCGCTCAATTACGCAGAAATTTAGAAAAATTGGTGGATTTCTCCTTTAAGACAACTCCGTATCATAACACATTTTTCACACACAGCTCTAGGCCAGATAGTTATGTAGAGATGACGTGCAGCTGAGCCCTCATGCTGTGTGCTTCAGATCCTCAAGCCAGAAAATGACACCATTATGTTGTAATCCATAACCAATATCATCATAATCAATACTCATTAACTCTCAGAGAAGGCTGCAGTGTTAGCAGTACTGTACAAAATGCCATCTTATATATATTTCACACAATTTACATGCAAAATGTGCGTTTAACATCTTTTTTGGGAGGAGAAAATGAGTTATTTTATCATACGATGGTAAATTTTTTTGCCAGCCTTTTTTATTGGTTTTCACTTTAAGTGATAATTTATCATGAAGTTTCTTTACTATTTCTGTTATTAACTATATTGTTTTGTTTGTTTTGTTGTTTCATGCCACGCCAGAAATTCATGATGAAGGTAAGACTGCATGTGTGTGTGTGTGAGTGTGAGTGTGTATGTGGGAGTGTGAGAGTGTGATCATTGCTTCTTCTCTGATCTTCATAGTTTTCACTATGAAAAGCTTCAGTTTTGCCCATTTTTCGTGTCACTCACTTCACACAGTCAGTTACTAATGCCTGATTTGTCCGATCAGGACTTTTTATGTTGTGATGTCACTCGTCTCTGATTGGCCAGCACGCCTTAGAGCTCAGATGATCCACATGAGAATTTGAGAGTGCAGCAAGAAACATGGAAGTAATACTGGCAAGTCTGGATTAATAATAATATCATCACTAGGAACGTAACCTCATATCTCCAAAATGATAAATTTACAGGGGAAGAAAAAAGTTTCTGAACTCTGAATGGAAGTTCTGGACCATTTCCATAGTTCTGTTCATCATGCAATTTTAACCCAGTGCAAAGGGGAAGTGGGCCTTTTCGTGCGATGGCGTTTTAGGGCCACTGTTAATAAAAATAAAAATAGTAGACTTCCAGAATGAAGTCTTACTATTTTGAGAAAAAAAGTCATAATATTTGGAGGATAAAGTGGGCTAACTGTAGGGGGGCTGCCATAACGCATTGGGTCTCGGTTGCTGTACTGGTGCAGGAGTTCCACTCACTCTTGTCTCTTTGTGGATCATTTTGATTATCATTCTCACTGTCTGTGAAACTTCTTGCCCTCTTTGAATGGGGGGAGATGGAGCCCCCGATAGCCGCGTAGACAACCCTGCCTAAGATTCTCCTTCAACAAAACAGACAGACAGTTTCCTCTGAGTCCGTCTGGCTCTTTATTCTAGATAAACAGTTTCCTGCTCAGCCGTTTCTTAGACAAATAACAGGCTGGTGCTGATGTGCAGGAGAGACAGGGAGACTGAGTGTTTCTTTATGGGTGAAATCGATATGAAACTCCAAAAACTCCTCACCGCCCCTCATTTTAACACGAGGAGGTGCTGCCTTCCCTTTGCAAAGCCTTTGGCCACAATATTGCGACCTTTCCTGGTATTAATGCCACTTTAATGCTGTAATTCTACGACTTTTTTTCTCGATATATTACGACTTTATTCTCGAAGTCTACTATTTTTATTTCTATTAGCAGTGGCCCTAAAACGCCGTTGTATTTTCAAGTTCTGTTTGAAAAAAAAAAAATATGTTGGTACAAGGTTTGTGCCAACAGTGACAGTGTGTTATTTACACGTTTTAAACACAATGTCAGTTTACAGTAAAAAAAAATGCTGTTAGCTGAAGGGAGGAAGTAGGGCTGAATGATCAGGGTTGGGTTGTAATGGAATAAATGTAATGGTGTTACATAATCAGGATACTAAAGAGGTAACTGTATTCCATTACAGTGGCAAAAAAAAAACAGTGATTAGATTACAGGTACATTATAAAAAAGAGTGCTAACTAGCAAGATTACATTAAAACCACAGTGATATTCTTGCATGTGTACGTCTCTGTGAGCCAGGTTTGTCTGCTAAGTGCAGATTTTGTCAAGCAGTTTTTGCAATGGTAACAGAGTGCATTTATAATAGTTTAATCCACGTTAGGCTAAAATTTGCTTTTCACTTTTTCATGTACTAATGTCACGCTTTCATATGCACGTGCACAAGGATTAATCACAGCCTGAGTATCTAAACCTGGATTATTCACAGTCCCAGTATATAAACCTGGATTAATCACAGCCGGGTATCTAAACCTGGATTAATCACAGTCTGGGTATTTAAACCTAGATTATTCACAGTCTCAGTATATAAAGCTGGATTAATCACAATCTGATTATCTAAACCTGGATGATTAATCACTGTCTGAGTATTTAAACCTCTATTAATCACAGTCTGAATATCTAAACCTGTATTAACTGAAGCCTATTTAAAACTGGTTTGATCACAGCATGACTATCTAAACCTGGATCTCAGCCTGAATATCCAAAGCAGGATTAATCACAGTCTGAGTTTCTAAACCTCTATTAATCACAGCCTGAGTATCTAAACCTGGATTAATCACAGTTTGAGAGTCTAAACCTGGATTAGTCGCAGCCTCAGGATCTAAACCTGGATTAGTCGCAGCCTCAGGATCTAAACCTGGATTAATCACAGCCTGAGTATCTAAACCTGGATTAAACACAGCCTAAGTATCTAAACCTGGATTAATCACAGCCTGAGTATCTAAACCTGGATTAATCACAACCTGAATATCTAAACCTGGATTAATCACAGCCTGAGTATCTAAACCTGGATTAAACACAGCCTAAGTATCTAAACCTGGATTAATCACAGCTTGAGAGTCTAAACCGGGATTAGTCACAGCCTCAGGATCTAAAACTGGATTAATCTCAGCCTGAATATCTAAAACTGGATTAATCACAGCCTGAGTGTCTAAACCTGGTTTAGTCACAGCCTGAATATCTAAACCTGGATTAATCACAGCCTGAATATCTAAACCAGGATTAATCACAGCCTGAATATCTAAACCTGGATTAATCTCAGCCTGAGTATCTAAAACTGGATTAATCTCAGCCTGAGTGTCTAAACCTGTATTAACCACAGTCTGAGTGTCTGGATTAACAGAGAAAGTTGTAAATCGTCTTAACGGTGGCCGTGTTTCGTTTGTGATGTTGAAACTTGATCAGTAAACTTGTCTAAATTGAACTTGCTTTTTGTTAGAAAGACCCCAGATCTACTACTTCTTGTTATCCAACTACAAGCCAAAACAAATGGCATAAAGTTCGTTACAAAAAAGTAACAGTAATTACATCACTGTAATGAGTAACTTTGTACCATATTACCCCCAGCACTGGTGATGACCTTGCAGCACTCACACTCACTGAGTGTTGTCACTGTTACATAATACGGATGCTGATTCCTGTCAGACTGAGCGAGACACAGTCAGAGTCATTACTGACATTTGGTAAACATGATGTCCGGCCTACTTTCATGGCAGATTGTCCAGCACAAGTCACACACTGATCTCGTCTTTAGCCTGTTCATTTGATTGAAGGCCCACACTAGACAGCATCTCCCATGATATGCCTTCATAGCATCTGTGAAAACAGATTTATTTGTGGTTCAGTCGTTTGTAAATACAGGACTGTGAAAGAGTCAGAGACCACCCTTTTGGTTGGTCACTCAGAGGCCACCAACACTATGTATAATTTCAACTTCATCGGTTTTTAATCTGTTCACTCTTTATGTTTGCACACTCTTTAACTCAGTTATTAGATGTCACATGCTTTTTCATCAGTCTTGAGCCAAATAAATGTAAATAAATCACTTCTTTCTTTTGACTTTTGTAGTTCTGTCTTACAGTTCTAACCTTTAACTGTGTGCTCTAACACATTTACGGAGAATATTATTTGCTCACTTCATAGCTAGTATAGATAATGAATAGCTACACCGATCAGGCATAACATTATGACCACCTCCTTGTTTCTACGCTCATTGTCCATTTTATCAGCTCCACTTACTATATAGGTGCACTTTGTAGTTCTACAGTTACAGACTGTAGTCCATCTGTTTCTCTGCATACTTTGTTAGCCCCCTTTTACCCTGTTCTTCAGTGGTCAGGACCCCCATGGACCCTCACAGAGCAGGTACTATTTGGGTGGTGGATCATTTTCAGCACTGCAGTAACACTGATGTGCTGGTCTGAGTGGATCAGACACAGCAGTGCTGCTGGAGTTTTTAAACACTGTGTCCGCTCACTGTCCACTCTATTAGACACTCCTACCTTGTCAGTCCACCTTGTAGATGTAAAGTCAGAGACGATAGCTCATCTGCTGCTGCACAGTTTGTGTTGGTCATCCTCTAGCCCTTCATCAGTGGTCACAGGACGCTGTTGGCTGGATATTTTTGGTTAGTGGACTATTCTCAGTCCAGCAGTGACACTGAGGTGTTTAAAAACTGTCTGATCCACTCAGACCAGCACAACACACACTAACACACCACCACCACATCAGTGTTACTGCAGTGCTGAGAATGATCCACCACCCAAATAGTACCTGCTCTGTGAGGGTCCATGGGGGTCCTGACCACTGAAGAACAGGGTAAAAGGGGGCTAACAAAGTATGCAGAGAAACAGATGGACTACAGTCTGTAACTGTAGAACTACAAAGTGCACCTATACAGTAAGTGGAGCTGATAAAATGGACAATGATCGTAGAAACAAGGAGGCGGTCATAATGTTATGTCTGATCGGTGTATACTAGCTATGAAATGAACAAATACACATTTCAAATAAATAAATAAATAAATCTGTCCTGCAAGTATATGTGCAAATGTTAGCATGTAAACTTGCAGAACAAGTGTTTTTTACTCACTGTCTCAAAAGATGAATGTAAGCTTTGGTTGACAGTAACTGTAAATGCTTGTTACACACAGTGCATTGCAACATTGTCTAGTTAGCTGCAAATAAAGAGCTAATAAGCAAATGTAGCTGCTTTAGATGTGTACTTTATTAGTTGTCTAAAATGAACAAAACAGTTAAATCATTGATTAAAATTATTAATATAACAATTCATCGTCAATTCATGATCAAACAGGCCTCGATATAAGAAAATCCACTCACACGAAAAATAAGTAGTGAAAAAACGAGATTCCAAAAGTTCAAAAATGATTCAAATCTACATGGAAAACGTGCAACCCTGCAAGACCTGGTAGACAGCAAAACTGTCCCCATCATATAAACAGCATTTCATCTTTAAGAGAGAGGAGAGAAAAACGCTGTTATACAGTTCTATGCAGAAGTGTGGGCTTTCTGGTCAGATGAAATTTTATTGAATTTCTAAGTGAAAATAAATTAACACATCCTCTACAGAGACACACTTCTGCACATTTTAATACACAATTGCTGTTTATTTGCTGTATTTTAGTAAAATGCTGGAATAAAAAAATCATCAAAACATTAAATATGGCCTTTGGCAATGTAACATGGCACATTTTATATTTTATATTTTACTGTTTGCCAATATTTTAAACATAAATTGTGCACTAAAATTTTCAGAAAAAAAAATGCTGTGTTCAGGTTTGATCTCTATGTTTGTTGTAAAGGATGAGAGGATGTATTAACTGATTTTCACTTAGAAAATCAACAAAACATGACCAGGGGCATCTCAAATTATATATTACTGTAAAGACAGAGTGGACACACTAAATACTGAAACATTTGATATTATTTTATTAAAGTTTTTGTCTAATTTTCTGTTAAATGTTTCCTGTTTTTTACCAACACTGAACAATGAATAACTTTTACTGAATGGCTGTTTTAACAGCAAATTGATCGTCTCTGATTTCTGCACAGTACTTTATGTAGGGCTACAGTAATAACCGTAGTGCTGCTTTCTGTTGAATATGGTACACTTGTTTATCAGGAAGTGCTTTACAGTTTTAAGCTTTGTTGAAATGCACTGTGTGTTTTTGGATAACAAAAAGCTGTGTGTGTGTGTGTTTGTGAGTGTGTGTGTGTGAACTGCATGCACCTAACGTGATTAATTAACGTTGGTCCACATTGGGGCTGTGGGAAGACCCCAGTGAGATGTAATGTTATTGTTGCTTTTATCACAACTGTGGCATTAGAGGATGCACTTAGAAATAATCAATAGTCAATATTGCCCTAGTCAGTATGTAATAGCACAACATCGGGAAGATAAATTGAAACACTTTCCCCTGTTGTGTGTGTGTGTTTGCATGTGTGTGCTGGGGGGTGAGCACAGTATGATTATAGAGCCTATTGCCAGTGCAAGAAGTCCAGGGTTGTAAACCTGTTTCTGTGTCACTAAGTAAACGGTTAACAGTTGAAATGGTTGTACTTGTTAATGCACAAGTAACAACTATAACTATTGACTATCATTATCAAACTTTTAGATAAAGTTGCTACTTATAGGGGTCTGTTATTATAAGTTGCTGCCTCAGAATGTGAGAATGTGATCTAACAAAGCTGAAAAATGTTGAGATTTTTATCCGATTTGTGTCACAAACTACCTTTTAGGATAAGAAAACGTGAATAGGAATATAAATAACATCAATCATGTTTTATTGTTACTCTGATTAAATTAATCAAGCATTAATATGAGCATTAACCGATCCGATCTGTGCTCTGAATGCATCTTTTATACAGTGATAGAAAATGCATGCAGTGTAACTCCTCTGGCTACAGATTTGCATTTTTTGGGGGGGGTGGTTTGTATCTGACTTGTTGGGTTCATGTGGTTAAAGGGCTCATATTCTACATTTATCTTGTATTTTTTCTGCTAAGGTCCACTTAAGATGTGTATGTGTTTGTATGTACCAAACACAATTGTAATTCAGTTTAAATGACCATTTTCTGGCCTCTCTTTATTCTCGTGTTTCATGTGACGTCACACTGTATATTCGCCACTATTTTAAGGACTGAATCAGGGAATGACTGCCCTCGCGCGTTGCCTTTGATTAGCTGTGCTTTGTGAATGATTCACATGCAAGATGTGACAGAAGCCGAGCATGACAGACACACAGACCTTTAATTCAGTGTTTCAAACTCCAGTTTATAGTTTAGGGTTTCTCTCTGCTGTTCACACCTAGTTCAGCTCAAGAAGGGTTTAATTAGCTAATAATATCAGGTATTTTAACCAGGAAACCACAGTTATGCAGTGCAGGGGTTTCAGGACTGGAGCTGAACTCTGAACTCTGCACTAACTGCACTAGCAAACTTACAAAATCCCGTCTGTCGAAACACGACGTCGTTTTCAGACCCACGACATTCAGTCTTATATTTAACATTTATGTTTCTCCATTCAAACATCATGTAAATCTCCAGAAACAGAGAGTAAAGTTATACCTGGCTGTTTGCAGCTCCGTTAGGGGGACGACTGTTCATCTCTCGGCTGTTAACATTAGCGAAGGTTATCTAAAGGCTAGCATTGTTCACATCTGGGTTAATTAGCTGATGTCGTTACCCTCCTATGATGAGTTTTTTACTCCTCTTTATGCAACACCATGGGATCCTTTATCCTTCTGTGCTTTTAAATGCTTTGAGAGGCTCTCCAGAATAGGGAGAGGGGTTGTGTGTATGAGATAAATATATCAGGAAAACACAAATTTGGCAGATTTCCACCAGTTTAAGTGGGACCAGGAGTTCAGGGGGAAACTGTATAAGGATCACAACCTATTTTATCGACTTTTTCAAGTAACTTTGTTCTCTTCCTAAGTAAGGTGGGTAATTTTAGCCGTCTTTCACCTTTAGTTACATTCATGCGGAGCAGTGAAGCCAGTAATTCTGTCCCAATAATGGTGGCCACAACAGAAAAATCACGTAACTAAAACCCCAGGATACCTTAGAAGTACTAAACAGGCTGTGTCTTTAAGACTGATACATGTAAATGAGCTCTGTTCTGATTGCTCTGTATTGCGCCTTGTTCAAAAAACAGTGGAGCCTGAAACACTCCTTATAACATGAGTGTAAATGGGAGGGGCTAATCCTCCAGTCTAGAAGGTAGATGTACATAAATTCATTGGTTTTTGTGAAACAGTGAATCCACAGTGCAGCGTTTCCGTATAGGGACTGTATGGACTGGAGACTGAATGGTATATTTTGAAACTTTAACAATGTTCATATGTGCTGTTGCTTCATGTATTTGATATGTAAAGAACATGAAGCCAAAAAATGTAGAATTTGATTGATTGTTTCACAAACTACCTCTTAGAACAAGAAAACACACTAAGTAGCACTTCATTTGTCTTTTATTGTTGCTCTCATTAAACAAAACAATAGTTGGCTCTTATTGCTCTGAATCGCTCTGGATAGGATCTTTTGCTCACTCTTAAAAATCACCAACCATAAAGGAAGCCTTATGCATAATTTACACAGTGGTAGAAAGCAAGGAAAGCTCACAGAGAGCACTGATTCCGCTCACTGATACCTTCTATTTTGGCCAGTGTGGATTTACGTGTGCTGCAATTCCTCGGGCGGCAGATTTAAACAAGTTTAAGGACGCTTCGACAAAATGAGCCTCTAAGAATGGATCGCCAGCAAGATGCTGAAAAACACACTAACACACCACCACCTCGTCAGTGTTACTGCAGTGCTGAGAATGATCCACCACCCAAATAGTACCTGCTCTGTGAGGGTCCATGGGGGTCCTAACCACTGAAGAACAGGGTGAAAGGGGGCTAACAAAGTATCAGAGAAACAGATGGACTACAGTCTGTAACTGTAGAACTACAAAGTGCACCTATATAGTAAGTGGAGCTGATAAAATGGACAATGAGCGTAGAAACAAGGAGGTGGCCATAATGTTATGCCTGATCGGTGTATAACTCCAATGGTTATTTCATGTTTCAGAGTTCTGGTATGAGGTAGTTACAACACAATAAGTATAAACACAACACAATGAATATAAACATAACCAGGAATAGCAGCAGTATTTACAGTCTGAAGTGCACAGTGAGAGTGTCATTACAGTAGCGGCTGTGATGCATTGCACAGTGTGTATTAATAAAATAACATGGTGTGTTTTAACTTAAAACAAGCAAGTAAAGAACAGAAAACTGCAACAAAAACAGCCTGTTAATGGTAAATATTAAACATCTATAAGATCAGACCTTGGAAAATCCTTAGGCTGAATCTCAAACGGCTCACTGCTCCCTATATAGTGCACTTTGTGAGCTATGAAATTTTGGCTTTTACACCCAAATATTGCACTTTATGTCCAGTATGAATTGTGCACACGTCTGAATCCAAAGTGGTTCTTTATTAGGTGCACTGAGCTCTGTTTAGATGCAGTAGCCATTATTTTAAGACCCTAGGTAGGGCACTTTGTAGGGAGAAGGGAGTCAGTTGAGATTCTGCCTAAAACAGTTGCGTCACCTGACTCAAATACTGCACCCTGATTTCGCTGAATGAATTTATCAGGTTCTGCTGGAGAACAGTGCTGGCGTTTGACTGTTTCTGCTGTAAAACGTGAACTTGCTGTGCCTTGACAATGAACAATAACGGCATTTGTGACATATTTAGGGTTCATATTGCGCTCATGTATTAACAAGTGTGTTACCTTGAGGCAGTTTTACAGTGACTCAGTAAAGAGTCTTCGCACTGAGCGGCTGCATGATTGGTTGATTCCACTTCCTAATTATGTTAGTAGGTAATCTAACACGTAAGGCCTCCAGTTAAACTCCTGAAGTCCTAACCAATAGGAGAGCTCGCTTGGCTCTTTCTTCCTAGATACCACAGAGAAAGAAACCCTGACTGGACGGTTTTCTGTCCGGCAGTTCAGGATTTAGACTCTCTTGTTTCTATGCAAAATGTATCAGTGAAATAGATGTGTTACTACAACACAAGCATTATGATTCCATTAAATAAAAAGGAACTCAAATTACAGTATTTTTCAGTTCCCAGAACTAATTAGGCCTTCACTGATGACCTAGAAGGCCCTGAGGGTTCCTCACTGGTACAGTTATAACTGTCATCTACAGCTGTACAGCACTGTGTCTTCCTCTATATATTTCGCTCAGAGCCTTTTCCTTTCAATCAGCACAGCTCATCAAAAACCCACTGCTCTTTCGGACAGATGGGGAAAGGGGGAGAAAGTCTTTTGTCCTTTGTCTAACAGTGTGTTTGTGCTTTATATGTTTTAGACAGCGCAGGGCGGAGGTCATCGCACTCTTCTCTACGGACACGCTGTCTTACTCAGGCACTCCTACAGTGGAATGGTGAGTGAAGTGTGTGTATGTGTGTGTGTCACCGAACAGCTTGTGAAGGAAATCATGCTGCGGGTCCTGTATATAGCAGGCCGTGGAGGAGAAAGCCATCCTTTCTGCTGTCTATGTTCTTACCTGAGCAGCTCAGGATGAACATGTGAATAACGTGATGGACCTTTGTGACTGGCCATTTTTGAAAGGGTGTAGAATTAAAAGTTCAGTTCATGAGAAAATCAGTTTTGCACCTTTTCCCCCCTGTGATGTCCACAATTTGCTTCTATATATAGTGTATACATTTTTAACCCTTTCTAACCTCTTTTTATCCCTTAGAATTAAACAGGCTGGTTTTGTTACTGTGCCTTGAAAGCTGATGTTTGAAATGAACTCTCTTCTGATTGGCTGCCCTGTAATTTGCCTCATTCAAAAAGTAGTCCAGGTTGAAACAATTTCTCAAAACTTGAATGTGAATGTGTGGAGCTAGACTTCTGTGTAGAAACATATATAGTTGTTTTCAGAACAAAACCTCCAAAATGGTAACATACACTGCTTTTAACACTGCTTTTAATGTAATTCAATGGAACCAGACTCTCCTCTTTTCTCCACATTATTTCCTTTGATCAGTTCTTCATGAAACTTACACATAATGTAAAGGGCAACAGGCAATTTCAAATTATGTCAAAAAATTAAAAATGATATGTGTGTATATATATCTAAATATGTCTAAAGAAAATGTCATAAGAAAAAAAAATGCTGTATATACATTTTTTTTTATACATTGTCATTTTTTAGTTTTTGACATAATTTGAAAATACCTGTTGCCCTCGTGTGTAAATTTCATGAAGAATGGACCAAAAAAAATCTGGTTCCATTGACTTACATTTAAAATCAAGTAGTTTTTTCCTTCTTCTGTAACTTATGGAGATACAGGGTTTTATTCCGACAACAGTGATATATACATATATGAAATGTTATGTAAAGTCAGTCTTGCCATGATTGTTTTTCTTTCACTCATTAATTCTAACTGCTGGTTTGAGTAAACTAGCAAATCCATGCAGCTGGAACAAAATCCTGCTGTGAACTTTCTGGAGAATTGAAACCTGTGTGTGGTGTTTGTTGCTCTGGTGTGAGTTTCTTTTCTTTCTTCTGCTTTCCGCAGTACCTCTGCTGTCTGTCCACCTCTCGCTCTTCGACAGATAAACTAGCGTTTGATGTGGGGCTTCAAGAGGACACGACAGGTAGAGCTCTTCTGATGGACAGCTGTTGGAAAGATATTGTGAACAGTCTGTAGTTTGAAACCAGTTTAAAACATTCTGACACAATTTGGTTTAAAGAGGATTTCCCCTGATTTTTCATTAAAAAAAGAGAGAAAAAACAAGGCAACATTTTCTCTTGACAAGCGGAAAATATATCCAACTTCTAAGACTGAACTTTGGACGTGTCCCTGAAGATTTCTCTGAAAAATTCATAAGACCTCTCCTGAAAAGAAATGATATTACCTTTAGTTGTTGAGAATTGTGTGTAATTTTCTGTTAATTATATGTTTTCTGCCTTTTTCCACTAAAACTGAAAAATTGGAAATTAAGTAAATGAAGGATAGTCTCTGATTTTGAACAGCATTGTAGGCTTTTAAGCCATTAAAGTTTTGGGCGTCTAATTCTTATCACTACTGCTGTAACAAATTCTTGATAAGATTAAGTTTCTCTAGAATGAACCATTTCACATCAAGCCATTCTGACTTTGTTTACGTTTTAACCATTAAATTATGCAGAAATGCCGAAAAAAAGGTGGAATTCCTCTTCAAGAAAATCACAGACAGCATGCGATTACAATATACAATGCGTCATTTTTCAAAAATGTAAGCTTCAGTATTTTAAATTTGCGTTCGTCATCCAACTCTTTGAGGCACCTGGTTGTGTGAAACTGCTTTCACGTTCCATCACAAAGACACTGTTTGGGACCATTTTGTTCAAATGAAATCAGTATAAAAGGTGTGTGAATGAGTTCTGTAGGAAAAATAAACTTCTTTAGAGCTGACAGACGATCAAAATGACTCACTAGTTGGTGTAGTTTAATCACAATTAACCACATTTGTCTTATTTCCTCTAATTTGACTCTAAAGAAAGTTTCTTTATTTATAAAGCAGTAGGTTAAAGCTGTTTGAGTGGACAAAATAAGTTTCATCAGAATATATTTATTAATTTCACTAATGCCAGTGAGCATAACAGTAGCTGCATGTTCCAGCTCCTCCATGACTAGAGCCTCTTGCTCTCATGCTGCTACATAACATCTCGTTTTGGAGGAAAACTGGAGCTTTCTTCACTTTGCTGTTGCTTTTATTGGTTTATTCATAGTTCTTCCACAAAGACTGAAAAGGGTTCTGTATAGCACCAAAAAGGGTTCTTCTACTGATACAAGCTTGACTTCGTAACAACAGCAGAACCCTTTTTGATGCTATACAGAACCCTTTTACAAAAATATGCCATATAGAACCATCTGCAGCACATTCTCCATCAATCTGAAGAACTCTTTCACGTTGCAAAGAACGCTTTAATCATGAAAATGGTTATTTGAGTGTTCATGGTTCTATATAGAACCGTTTTCTTTACTAAAGAACCCTTGTAGAACCGTCATTTTTAAGAATGTAGCTGAGTTGGCTCCTATTGGTGAGCTGAGCCTATTGATCAGACTCACTGAAAGAGCCAGAGTGCCCATCACTAGCTGGAACTATGGATTATTCAAAGGGTCAAACTAGGAAATGCATTACAGCATTAATAATTAGTGATGCTAATGATTAATTACCACATTATCTTTGACACCACTAGTCCTCTTATGATTGTCCACTTGTTTTATTTTGGAATGGATTTATGTGTTTGTATTCGTATGTGTTCATTTTGTGTTTGTGTGTTTGTAGGTGAGGCCTGTTGGTGGACCATACACCCTGCCTCCAAGCAGAGGTCAGAAGGTGAGAAGGTGCGTGTAGGTGATGACCTCATCCTGGTCAGCGTGTCCTCCGAACGTTACCTGGTGAGTCTCTGGAGGAGAATAAATGTTATTTCACTGCCTCTATTTTCATTTTTCCAGATGTATGTTTGTTTATTGCTTCTTCTTTTGTTGGATTTCTAAGAGACTTTAAAAGTCCTGTAGTTGCAATTTTAACAGTGAGTGTGTTCATACGCCCTTAATAATCCGATAACTGCAGAAAATCTGATTTTGTCAGTAATCCGATCAATGTGTTTATATGCACTTGAGTAATCAGATAATGGGGAAACTCTGGGTCTACATGAATCAGACAGTAATCAGATTTCTGCTTTGCAACCAGCCAGTAAACTCGCAGAAGAAGACGTGACGTAAAAGTAGTGTAAAACTTCATGCTGTGGCTTTTTTTTTAAACATTGCACCACTTTAGCTGAAAATATGAACATACATCATCTAGAAGATGAAGAATATTTAAATCTTTCATGTCGTCAAGCATGTAGTTGGTTTCAGTGTCGCTCCAAAAGTGTTTTGCTGCGTCTAACGGCAACACTGCTCACTTATTTCTGGTACGGCTGTCTGTTTCGCACATGCACAGACTGAGAAATCTGAAAGAAATCAGAGTAAGAGTTTACATGCACTGAGAAATCTGATTACTGAACTCAAATCCAGCTCTCTTTATCGGATTTCTTAATCAGATTTGTAGACCTTGCTCCTATCTAAGAAATCAGAGTATGCTGTTTACATGACCATTTCAATAATCAGACTATGATCGGATTATTAAGTGCACTCAGTAATTTCACTGAACAGTACAGATGGGCAAACTAATACCAGGAGAATCCATGTTCATAAATGAGGCAAACAAGTAAACAAGCACAGAATTAATGTAAAATCTGTCTAATGATTAGACTCACCTCACATCTGTATTTATTAATCATTATTGTATTTTAATTCGTCATTTCTGTGTTCTTTATTCTCAGAACTCTCATTGTTTTTATTGTGTTCTTGTTTGCTATCTGGTTCAGCTCTTGAGGGACGTGTTCTTGGTTCTTTTCAGTGACCCGTCCTCATTCACTCACAGGGTTTCTCCTATTGAGTCCTATTTCCAGTATGTGAAGCTGTAATTTTGAATTCTGAATCCAAATTTCCAACATGCTGCCTCTCACTCACCTGGCACTAATGCACCCACAACCCAGCCAATAAGGGGCGTTGATTAGCTGGAGCAGTGACACAGACTATGGATGGAACCAGATTCTTTAGGAAGGTGGACCTGCAGGTCCAGGGTTGTTGACCGCTCTGCTGGACTTCTTTGGATTAAGTGTATCTGCACATTTGTAACCAGTCTGTCACCTGAACTGCTAACTCAGGAATCCCAGTCCCAGCCGTTTCCTGCTCCAGCACACCTGAGTCTGCTCACTGGCTAATTATGAAGAAGGCTTTAATGAGCTGAGTCAGGTATGCTGGAGTGTTTGTGTGGGTCTCCAGGGCTGTGACTGAAGCAGTGTGGTGATGAGGTTTTCAATGAGGAGGTGAATAATTTGGCTGAAAGAAGAGAAAAAGACTGATTTTGAGTTAGAATGACCTCTTTGATTACTCATTCAGATCACATGGAAGATTAACTGAGTTTTGCTAACTCTCTTACCCTCTCTCAATTATCCCTTCTTTCTTTCTTTCTTTCTTTCTTTCTTTCTTTCTTTCCTTTTCTTTCTTTTTCTTTCTTTCTTTTCTTTTTCTTTTTTCTTTTCTTTCCTTTTGTCTTTCTTTTCTTTTCTTTTGTCTTCTTTCTTTCTTTCTTTCTTTCTTTCTTTCTTTCCTTGTCTTTCTTTTCTTTTTCTTTTTTCTTTTCTTTCCTTTTGTCTTTCTTTTCTTTTCTTTTGTCTTATCTATCTATCTATCTTTCTTTCTTTCTTTCTTTCTTTCTTTCCTTTTGTCTTTCTTTCTGTCTTTCTTTCTTTTCTTCTTATTTTTATCTTTCTTTTCTTTCTGTCTTTATTTTCTTTTTGCTATCTATCTATCTATCTATCTATCTATCTATCTTCCTTTTTTCTCTCCTTCTTTCTTTCACATTCTCCCTCTCTGTTGCTTTTTCTTCTTTCTTTCTTTCTTTCTTTCTTTCTTTCTTTCTTTCTTTCTTTCTCTTCTTTCTCTTTTCTCTGTTTGTCTTTTGTCTCTCTGTCTCTCTTTGTTGTGCCCTCTTTCTATTACTGTCTTTTTTCACTCTCTTTTGTCTTTCTGTTGCTCTTTCCTTTCTGTCACTGTCTTCCTTTTCTCTCTCTTTCTCTCTGTTTCTCTCTCTGTTTCACTCATCTCTCTCTGCTCTTTTCTCCCTTCTCTTTGTTGCTGTCTTGTCTCTCTTTTCTCTCTTTTTTGCTCTCCTCTCTTGCTTTCTTGCTTGCTCTGTTTCTCTATATTGCTGTCTTCTCTGTCCTCTCTCTCCTGTCTTTTCTCTCTTCAATGTTCTCTCTCTCTCTCTCTGTCTCTCTCTCTCTCTCTCTCTTTCTCTCTCTCTCTGTCTCTCTCTCCAGCACTTGTCGTATGGGAATGGCAGTTTGCATGTGGATGCAGCCTTTCAGCAAACCCTGTGGAGCGTAGCACCGATCTGCTCTGGGAGTGAGGTCGCTCAGGGTGAGAGAGAGAGAGAGAGAGAGTCTGTGTGTGTGTGAAAGAGAGAGGTGGCACATGCTTTCCGTCATATTCTGCCAAACATAAAGACATCACCCGAAGAGAATCTCCCAGAGACAAACACTGACATTTTCCAATCAACAGAACGGAGATCAGAAAAACAAGAACAGTGTCATTAACTGCTATTATTGGAGATCATCTACTCACAGACAGCAGCTCAATTTCACCCTTTAGTAATTCTTGTAATCCATTTACAAGAAGCTGTACTATAACCCATTAAATACTGCACCTCTTTATTCTTACCCTGCCCCCATTTGTGTTTCAGGCTTCCTGATTGGTGGAGACGTCTTGAGGCTGTTGCATGGCCACATGGATGAGTGTCTGACTGTTCCATCTGGAGAGCATGGCGAGGAGCAGCGCAGGTCAGTACAGTGGGTCTCAGTGAGATCCACCATGTGACTTTGAATGGTTTTTTTTAGTGACCTCAACCATGTGGCCTTCAGTGGGTCTCCTCAGATAGGTCAACCACAAGGGTTTCAGTGGGTCTTCTCACAGAGCCCAAACATGAGGCCTTCAGTAGATATTCTCATCAAGCTCAACCATAAGTCTTTCAGCAGGTCTCCTCAAGCTCAACCACATTCCAGCTTTCCCAACCGGGACAATAAAGTTGATTAGACTTTCAGTGGATCTCCACAGCGAGCTCAGCCATGTGGGTCTCTTCAGGGACCTCACCAATGAGGCCTTTATTGGGTCTCCTCAACAAGCTCAACCTCACAGCCTTTCATGGGTCTCCTCAGACAGCTCAAAGATATGGTCTTCAGTGGGTCTCCTCATTTAACATATCATTGAGGCCTTAGCTGGGTTTCTTTGGTTAGCTCAACCACGAAGCCTTCAGAATCAGAATTGGTTTTGTTAGCCAAGTGGGATATCACAAGGAATTTGTCTTGGCAGTAGCTAACTTAGGCTACGTTCACACAGCAGGTAAAAGTGGCCTAAATTGGATTTTCTCACCAAATCTGATTTTTTGCTTGGCTGTTTACAGTATTTTTGTAAAATGTGACTTATATGCAACATTAGTTTGAACAGATCACGCTCCTAAACCGACCCGCACGAGCAAATGAACAATGCTTCACGTGGCGCGCTCATCCAGAGGTAAACAATCATGACTGCCAATAAATGCAGGTTGTTAGTCATTTCTTTCAAAATCTCGTCAAACACGAAGTGGTTGTGCTAAATGCCTTCTGGTTTTTGGTACAGAAACACCAGCCTAAATGTTTATGAGTCCCAGCAGCGTGAAATTATGATGAATGTGGAGCTGGATTGACGTAAAAGTTGCATTGCCGCATATCAGACATGTATCGGATTTCAGTACCACATATGAAAGCGTCTCAAATCAGAATTGAAAATGTCAGATTTAATATGTTTTTTTGCTGTTCACACAGCCACACAGATTACACATCTATGTCACAGAAGAAGAAAAATATCGGATTTGGGCCACTTTTACCTGCTGTGTGAACAAAGCCTTTGAAGCAAACATAGAGAGTATGGACTTCAGTGAGTAAGCTTAACTCAAAGGCTGCATTCACATTACCTGGCTGAAGTGGCACAAACCAGAATTTTTTTACTTAACACACACATCTGATCTTTTCAAATGAGATCTGAGCCACTTTCATGTGTTCGTAAGTCAGATACGTATCCAATTCGTGGCCATGCAAACTCAATGAGAACAATCAGATGGGAATTCGTATTTTTTTTTCACTGCACATGCGCCATCATTCCATTAACAAGGCATCAGCATCTAACCTGAACTAAATCCCAGTAAACACTATAAGAACATCTGGGCCTGCAAATTATGTCCATGACGAAGGCTTGTTCTGCTGGTTCATGTGCTTCGTTCATTCACATCACGGTATTGATTAGGTTGTGTGCATGCGCATCGTTTCAGGACACGTTTTTGATCACATCAGTGACATATTTGGGTCACTTACCTACACAAATGTGAATCAGATAGAAAGATCATATCAGAGCAAAAAATCTGGATTAAGCATTGAGGCTTGTAATGTGAACATAGCCAAAGTCCATTAGTGGGTCTCATCAAGCCTTGGGTTCACTACACGACTTTTAAAGTCTTAACAGATTATAAAAAGACTGGGCATCTCACACTGTCCCACTGTTTTTTGCAGATTTTTGGGGGCTCCATGAAATATTAGGGACTTTTAAGCTGCTGCTGAACTAAACAGAGCTCACTGAACTTGCGAGAAACTCATGCGAACTCTCACGTTCACTCTCGCGTTCTCCCGTTACTAGGAGACCCAAATAAACAAACATGGAGCAGCTCGGTGCTGCTGTTTTCTCTGCCGTTTGTGCTGACATAGTCAAGAAGCAGCAGGTAAACATGTTTAAGTGAGAATCATGGATTTATAAATGTGATCAATGTGGTATTTTTTTTAGAGTTTTAAATGTACATAAACTCCATTGTGCTCTTGTCCTAAACTCAGCTCATTGAAAAAGCTTCGTTCCACACGTGAGAGACTTTTCGCCATTTTTCTTTGTTTACTTGCTGTATTTTCCTCTTTCGCACTCTGACTTTTCATTGGCTGCTGCAGGAGTCAGTTCAGATTGATTGACCAATTTGCACTAGTAAACCACACTGAGACTCGGGTCGAAAAAGTCGAACATGTTTGATAAACTCCGACTAGCCTAAAACGCGTTCAGGAGGCCAAAAATCTAAGTCTGTGCCCCTCACACACGACTCGACTCTCTCTCCAACTGTCGACTCCGACTGACCCAAATCTGCAGACTAGGGCCGACCAGCACAGATCGGTGTAAAAGTTGTGTAGTGTAACCCCGGCTTTAGCAAACTCAGTCATAAAGTCTCTGGTGGGTCTTCTCAGTGGGCTAAATTCAAAGACATTTACTGAGTCTCCTCAACAAGCTCATCCACAAGGCCTACACTTTGCTTTCTAAGTGAACTGGAGCCAGTGCTCCACGCCTTTTCCATAGTAATATATCAGCTAATGTTCAGAGCTTTCAGTTGGCCTTCAATGTGCCCGCTGATCTTAAACTGTGACTCTATTACAAGACTCCTCAGTGAACTCATCTATGAGGCCCTTGGGGGACCATCTTTGCTGCCGTAGAAAAGGGGGGCTTGATACAGAACGAGTCTTTGTTTATGGTCTGTAGGGCATTCACCATTAATCATTATGGTCTGTGGCAGAGGACAGAGAACAGACAGAGAGGCTAATTCAGGACATGTCCATTACCATAGTCCAAACAAGCAGGCATGCTGAGGTTACCGGCCTGACTATGCACCAAAACACATCATTTGTTATGACAGCTGTTGAAAACTTGGTTGTTTTGAATGCAACCTTTTCCTGCTGCTCTGTTTACAGCCATAGTCGGTAGCGTCAGTGTCTCTGGCCGAGGTTTATTAAACAAATGACTTGACTGCTCGAATGCAGAGTTTTACAGCTCTCCGCTGAGCATGCTGGGACTGCATTAGCTAATGAATGCTGATGCTACTGGGTGTGAGGTGAATGTTTAGTCCAGTGTGCGTGTTAGGTGAGCTGAAGGTGATGGTGGCAGTGACATCCATGCTAATGCAGTGTGTACTGATGGCTCTGAGGTGTTGCTGGAGAAACACAATCAATCTTCCTGTTTCGGTGCTTTAGATCTTATGTAATGTCCATGCGTGTGTGCATATGTCTGTGTGGGAGTATTTATGACTGCACCCTGTGAACACCATTGATCCTTCCATTGTTTATAGTGGCAGAGGTACAACAGCATTGGGTGGACAAACACAGTCTAAATAAGCAAACTGTGTGAGAGAGATGGAGAGAGATTGGTTTGCTATTACTGAACATATCAAATAGAAAACCTTCACAAAAACTGCAAAACTGAAGGAATGACTGGTAAAAAAAAGTTGTTAAAACTTTGGGAATAATACCAAAGCCCACTTATTGTATCCCATTCTTCTGATGTCAGCACTAAAACCTTGAAGATAGGTAAGCACCTTTGGTACATGAAGCTGAATATTGAGGTCCTGTGGGGGTCCTAACCAGTGAAGAACAGGGTGAAAGGGGGCTAAGAGTGTATGCAGAGAAACAGCTGGACTACGGTCTGTAATTATAGAATTACAAAGCTGCAGAGCTGAAAAAATGGACAATAAGTGTAGATAGTGTGTGTGTGTGTGTGTGTGTGTGTGTATGCGCATATGACAATCCAGGTCAGGGTCACCTTCCTCATGTCCACGTCCCTTTCACCTTGTTCTGCTGGTTCATGGTTCATGCACTTAATTCATTCACATGATGTTATTGATTAGGATGTGTGTGTGCGCATCATTTCAGGACACATTTTTGATCACATCAGTGACAGATTTGAGTCACTCACCTACACAAATATGAACCATCAAGTTAGAAAGATCATATCAGAGCAAAAAATCTGAATTGAGCGATGAGTAATAATGTGAGCATAACCAAATAGCATCGGTGGGTCTCCTCAGCAAACTCATGAAATCTTTAGCGGGTCTCCTTAGTGGACTAAATTCAAAGACCTTTATTGAGTCTCCACAACAGGCTATATATAAATACACTGTAAAAAGTGGCTCGTCAGCTCTACTTCAAAAAATTACTTCATGTGGTAACAAGAAAATTAACTAGTTTTATTCAACGTAAATAAATACTTTGAATGAACGATTCTTTCAGTTAAAGTCATTTTTGTTACCACATGAAGTAATTTTAAGTAGATCTGATGAGCCACTTTTTACAGTGTGTGTGTGTATAAGTGTGTATGTGTGTGTGTGTGTGTGTGTGTGTGTGTGTGTATATATATATATATATATATATATATATATATATATATATATGTGAAAGCAACTCTGCACAATCCAGGTCAGGGTCACATTCATGTCCCTTTTACTTAAAACACCTGTCTTTTCCACTCCTGCATAAGTAGGCCATAGTTAGCAGTTCCACACCCATCATACAGGATCCCATCTCCAGTCTTGGACAGAATGGGTGCTGCTGTGATATTCCCTGTGCAGTTCCACTCTTCTTCACCAGCTGATATAATTACAGCCCCACCTGGCCTCTGTGGGCCTCCAGAACACAGTGCTGACCCCAATATCTCTCTCCACTTACAGCAGCAGCTACTTTTAGCCCAACACAAAGCCACTTTAATTACTCAACAGAAAGATTAGCAGCCCTCGCATCTGCTCTACAAGGCCCTATATGAGAGTTGAGTAAGAAGCTTTGAATGAGGAGATCAAGAGTCAAGAAGAACTTTTGTGTCTTTCAGTCAATACATTGCATTCAGTGGAATGAAGTGATGTTTCCCTTGATCGGGGTTCTTAACCTGGGGGTCACAATGTGGTCCTTGGAGGGTCACAAAAGTGGTGCTACAAGACATATACCTTACCAAATAC